AGAGCTGATCATAAGAGAGCTTGTGCCACATGTTCTCTCCTTTTACTGGAACTGGGCAGCTCCTGTGACAAACACAGGATCCTTCCTCCACCATGTCACGGAACAGCATGCCCAAACTTCCCTAGATCCAGGTCCTTTGTTTGCTTAGAACAGCGATGTCTCCATGATTGCTTCAATTAGTCACCTCCTGGTTCCAAGTGTTTAGCCTGGCTGTTTCCCTCACCCCAAACACGCTCCAGTCTCCATTCTCATACACGTTCTTATCACAGGGTGAATGCAATTTAGAGCAAGTTACAAAGTGGCTGAAAAGTCATAAAGATTACAAAGCTCAACAATCTGACAACAAGGTGCAGAATTTAAAAGGCAAGGTTGCTGAAAGTTATAGAGACAGGTACAAAGCTTCAAAACTCAGTGGTTACAAAGATGCAATCCAAAGCAGAACTGACTGTGAACAATTGCAATCTTAATCCCCTACAAATAATCAGTAATAAAGTGACTGAGAAGACAACTGCCCTCCCCTCAAACAGTGTTCACAGCAATGCGGTCAGAAGCAGGGTTTGTCATTCTTAAGTCATGTGTTGGCAGGACCTTACAGTTTAATGCATTTCCAGAAAATGTATGTGAAAATCAAGTAAATAGCTTGGGTGGAGGCTTTATACACCAGTAACAGCATGCAGTACTCAAGGTGTGGTGTATTATAGATTTATATAGTGGTATTAGGGTATTGACTGATGTTAGGTATCCCTTTCCTCATGGTTCTTAACATTGTTAGCTTTTTTGACTGTTGCTGCACATTGAGCAGAGAACTATTACCTCACCCACATTGCCTTTCTAATACTCTGGGACTAACAACAGCACTGCAGACTAGGCATGTCAGTATTTATAATACACCACCTATAATGCAGGTGATTTTCCTACGGTAGACAAAGCCCCAAAATCTGATGCTGAAATGTTTAAATGTCTCAGGTTGTCCCACTGCCATGAGTAAGGTTTGTAGAATGGGCTTCCCAGCCCTGGGTTAGTACTTCCTGTAATGAGAACACAGGTTTCCCTTTCCCTCTAAATGCAGAAATCCCAAAACCTTTCTTGCTTTACAACATCTCAAAATACTGTCTTTTGCTTATTTAAACCTAGAGCAGTGAAATTCTTCTCCTTCTAAAGATCTGTACAGCTGGCTCGCTCTGCTCTCTTTAAAATCCAAATTCCTTAAAAATCCATTTTCTCTTTTGATGACTTAATCATGTAATTTTGTTTTGGCTCTGTTTGCTGTTGTTTCATTTGCTGTAACATGCTATTTTTTCTGATTTATCAAAAAAAAAAAAAGTGCCTCTTGCAGCAGCCAGGCATTTGTGCATGAGTTCTGAAATTCAGCTAAAAATAACAAGGTCATTTCAAAGACAACTCCCCAAACAACAAATGAAACTCAGTCAGGCTACACCTCCCTCAGGCAAAGGCCTGATGAGATAAGCTCTGCAATATGCCCTTTAGTTTAACCAACTTTGTCTTTCTAAGACAAGAGGAGAGTTAATTCCAGAGCCAATGCCCCACCCACAGAGTTCCATTTTGAGAATGGGTAGCTTGAATACAGCAGCTTACATCAGAGTTGTCTGGATGATGCTTAGAGAAAGAAACTAGCACACTGTGCCAGTACCCATTTAAGTCAATAGGAGTCTCTCTATTAACTTGAATGGGCATAAAGCCCCTTAGTCATGGGCTTTTGTAGGTCAAAGTCAACACTATGAATTTTACTTAACAGATGTTTTTTGCTCAGTCGAAAGGATACCCAGACTGCAAATGTCATTAACAAACAAAGTTGTATATCCCCTAATTAGAAGGAGCAGATAACACTTTGCACATACCCTTTGGATGGTTCTCCTGCACCCACTAGAGTCACCTTGGTTGTATCTAGATTAGGGATGGGCAACCAGTGCTCCAGTGCGTGAGAGGCACGTGGGGGGAAGAAGGCAGAAAGGGGGTGCATGTGCGGCAGGTTGCCCACCACTGATTTAGATTGACATTGAAACCCCTCCACTGGCCCAAAACACCTGATTCTGTCCCTGCAGCCTTGAGTGCGTACTGGACAGGGAAAGGTGACAACAGAACCTTTCATAGAATTCTAGACTTGGAAGGGACCTCAAGAGGTCATCGAGTCTAATCCCCTGCCTTGATGGCAGGACCAAGCACTATCTAGATCAGTGGTGGGAAACCTTTTTTGGGCTGGGGGATGCTAACCCACAGGCTAGACTACAATGATCTATTGGGAAAAAGTATGCAAAATGCGCTCCGCAATTTGCATACCTTTTCCTGATAGTTTTTCGGAAGAGGCTTTTCTGAAATTTGGCCCGTCTACACTGAGCCAGATTTCGGAAAATCCTCCTCTTTTGGAAGAACCCTTCTTCCTCATGGAAGAAGGAAAACAGGGCTTCTGAAAGAGTGCTCATGCTCTTCTGCGCAAAAAAAAAAAAAAAGCAGAAGAGCAGACGCATTCCCTGGACACGGTGGAGTTTTTCTGGGATACTGTACTTCTGAAAAACCCTGTGGTCTAGATGTACCCTCAGAGAGATCCTTCGGGGGCTGCCCAAAAGTTTAGCTCATCCCTGGCAAGTGTCTAACCTGCTCTTAAATATCTCTTGTGATGGAGATTCCACAACCTCCCTTGGCAATTTATTCCAGTTGCTTAACCACCCTGATTTTCCTAATGTCCAACCTAAACCTCCCTTGCTGCAATTTAAGCCCATTGCTTCTTGTCCAATCCTCAGAAGCCATGGAGAACAATTTTTTTTCCTCCTCCTTGTAACACCCTTTTAGCTACTTGAAAATTGCTATCATGTCCCCTCTCGATCTTCTTTTCTAACTGAAACAAATCCAATTCTTTCAGTCTTCCGTCCTAGGTCATGTTTTCTAGATCTTTAATCATTTTTGTTGCTCTTCTCTGGACTTTCTCCATAAATGTGGTGCCCAGAACTGGACACAGTACTCCAACGGAGGCCTAATCAGTGCAGAGTACAGCAGAAGAATGTCTTCGCATGTCTTGCTCACAACACTCCTGTTAATTCATACCAGAATCACGTTTGCTTTTTTTGTAACAGTGTCATACTGTTGACTCCTGTTTAACTTGTGATCCACTATAACCCCTAGATCCCTTTCTGCAATACTCCTTCCAGCTCACTAGACAACCACTTCCCATTCTGTATGTGTGAAACTTACTTTTCCTTCCTAAGTGGAGCACTTTGCATTTGTTCTTATTAAACTTCATCCTGTTTACCTCAGATCATTTCTCTAGTTTGTCCAGATCATTTTGAATTTTCTCCAAAGCACTTGCAACCCCTCCCAGCTTGGTATCATCTGCAAACTTAATAATCGTACTATACCATCATCTAAATAACTGAATAAGATATTGAATAGAACCGGCCCCAAAACAGACCCCTCTGTGGAACCCCACTCTTCATGCCTTTCCGGCATGATTCTGAACCGTTAATAACTACTCTCTGAAAACGGTTATCCAGCCAGGTATGCATCCACCATTGCGCCATCTAGGTTGCATTGCCCTAGTTTATTGATAAGAAGGTCATGAGAGACCATATCAAATGCCTTACTAAAGTCTAGGTATACCACGTCCACTGCTTCTCCCTTATCCACAAGGCTTGATATCCTATCAAAGAAAGCTGTCTGGTTGGTTTGACATGATTTGTCCTTACAAATCCATACTAGCTGTTACTTATCACCTTACTATCTTCCAAATGTTTGCAGATGGATTCCTTAATTACTTGCTCCATTATCTTCCCTGGCACAGAAGTTAAACTGACTGATCTGTAGTTTCCTGGGTTGTTCTTATTTCCCTATTTATAGATGGGCACTATATTTACCCTTTTCCAGTCTTCTGGAATCTCTCCCACCTTCCATGATTTTTCAAAGATGACAATACATCTTTCAGTACAAAAGCCTTTGCACTAATTTAGAAGACATAAATAGTGCACTATCCAACAGTGTTTAAAAAGGTCTGGGGTTTGGTATACAGATACCTGAGCTTGCTTAGAACCATGGAAAACATCATCAAACATTCTTTTAACATTTTATTAAAGAACTGTTTTTCCTTCTTTTAACACTTGAAATGTACAGTTTTAAGTGAGGTTTACATTTTAACAACATCCCTTGTTCCCTTTCCCATCAGCTGGAGAGAGCCTTTTAGAAGGTTTCTGCCCTTGTTTGACAGTCTTGCATGGTCTCTCTGATGGTAATAACTCCTTTTGTGGAAAAATAAGAAGTTTGCTGAGATGGGCTGAAGGAAGAGTTGTGACTGCTGCTGTTAAAAGTCTGATACTGTTTTATCCCAGCATGTTTGGGATTCAGCTGAATCGGTAGAGGTAGTGATGTCATCTGGGTCCCTCTCTGGCCTCACAGGGTCAAGACATCTTTCAGGAAGAGAGAGGCTTTGTGTCCCAGGAGATGGTAGGGGGAGCAACCATGATGATTAAGCTTGCTCCAGTAGCCTCAGTCTGCTCTTTATCTTTTCCTCCCAAAGAGTCTATCTTTAGGCCCCAAAAGGGAAGTGGTGGGTGGAATAGCCCATTCCCTCATAATTGGTGGACAAAACAAGGACAGTTTCCAACACACCAATTTTGGTCTATTAATTTCCAGACACTGGGTTGAGCTCATGCTGGGTAAACAAGAAAGTTCTTTTGGTTGGATTAATTCAGTTTTTTTGTCTGGTAATAACTTGACCTACTTTTCATGGATAATTCCCAAGCAGACAAAAAAATTATAGGCCCAATTGTCACAACAATCCCCTAGGTGATGAACAAGTGAGCAGAACTAACTTCTGGGTTCTCTGAGTGGGAGGTACAGAGGCACATTTGCTACTTTGTTCACTTATTAGTGGCTAAATTACTTGTTTGGCTTTTTTATTGCAAAGCACATTGATTCTAGACAGTACATTAATGAATGATAATGTGATAAGGAATGCATTGCTAACACAAACATTCTATTGTTTCTTTTTGCAGGTAACTGTTCTGGTCCTTTTTGCTCTTGCGTTCTTAACGTGTGTTGTATTTTTGGTCGTCTACAAGGTTTACAAGTATGATCATACCTGTCCAGAAGGATTCGTTTTCAAGGTAAAGCACATAAATTTTAGAAAAATAGAAAAACATGTAAAACTATCTCTGCTGCTTTTTACTTATCATTGGGCAAGTTATGTCGATTTACACAGTTTTAATATTTTATAGAATGCTACTTTCTCTGTTCCTTTCTGCATAGTTAGTGAGGTGGTGAGTATCTCATTTACATAATCTTGATTCTTTTTGCTGCTGTTCTACAGATCAAGAGACTAACATAATTCTTAATCCTGTGCCCTTAAAATCACAATCTTTACTTGCAGCTGTTTGGAAGATGAATGTCACATGCTTCCCCAAATTTATAAGCCATAGGATGGAAGATCTAAATCTAAAACATGGAGTGAAACTTCTGGACTCTGCTCCTACTTTAGATTTATGACAGATGTATAAAAGTTATCATTAGATTGTAAGACTGTGTAAAAACAAGCCTTTATATACTTACAGGTGGTCATAGAATATATTGCTTTTTATAGGAACAGGCCCAGAGATCCAATAAAGGAAAAATATATTTTCCTGTAAATGTTTCTTTGCTAACTAATGTAATTACATACCTGGGGTTTAAAGTTAGGGAGGTAGCATGAAGATAATAGAGAATGAATCAACTAGGAAGGAAGGGGAGAGAGAGATTGGAATGGGAATCAGTTTTCACAAGAACATGGTGACTTACTTATCTCTGGCCATACAGAGGAGCAGTATGATTTCTTTCACTTCTAAATTCTCCACTATCACCATCTGCAGGATCAGGCTTTCATTCTTAGTGCTTGTCACCTACTCATATTCCTAGTTGTCTGTCTCTTCTTATACTCCTAACTTTTAACAAAAACCCCTCGTTTATTTCTGTTAAGCTATCTCTTTCCCCATTACATTCTTCTTTAAAGTAAATAAATGCTTTTTGTGGCTGAACTGGGGATCGTCTGACCTAGTGGTTGGAGCCCACGGTTGTGGTCAGGAGTTACACCAAGGGCCACAGCAAACTGCAGTGAGGAAGCAGGAACAGGACATAGTAACAAGCACAAAGAGTAGGAACCAGGCAAAGAGGCAGGAACTTGGTCCCATGGGTCTGGTCAGCAGCAGGCCTAGCAACTAGCTGCTCAAACAATAGCTATGGCAGGAACAGGATGCTTTATACTAAAGATGTGTCCAATCAGCAGTCTGCTGCTAGTCAGCTGATCCTGCTGAGTCAACAAGTTCGGCCTCTGTTTGTGGGAGAGTTAGCAACAGTTTCCTGGTGCCACAGAGGGGAATGCTTTTGCTTGGCAACCAGGACTGAGCTCAGGGCCTCAGGAGATTAGACTTCAGTGTCTGTTTCTGCCTTGGAGACTTCTTGTGTGACCTCAAGCAAGTCACTTTCTGTGCTAGTGTCTCATCTTTAAAATGAAGACCATAATACTTAATCCTAATATGTGTCCATCATGTCTGTTTAGATAGTCCCGGCTTGAGAGAGCTTTCAGTGTGTTTGTACAGTGCCTAGAATAATTCTTAGTTGGGCCTGTTAAGTACTATTGTAATAAAGGCTATTTCTTCCTGGAAGACTTATGTCATGTTTTCAGCAGTAACCTCTCTCTGCTGTCCCGTGTCCTCTCTTGTCTTTGCTTGCCTTTTCTACCTTCCGTAGTCAATGCAGGGAAATTTTCTTTCTTCTAATTTCTGAGATTATTATTTCACTGGATTCCTGCTTTTGGTCTTGTCCTTCTTAACAAAGGCAGGTGGGATCACCCAAGGATCTCAAAGCTTTCTCGCTCTTTAATGCATTGGTACATATAGCTCATATCAAAAGACATTTATTGGTGCTTGTTACTGTCACAGTAGTGGGTGTTTTGTGGAGACAGTTTGTGAAAGGACAGTTAGTTTTGACCATTTCATGATAGATGGGAACACAAACTTTTATGTTTGTCAGATAAATCCATAGACTATCAAAGCTATACTGCAATAATTGATCTGAATGTCATGAGGCCTAAAATGGAAATGTTGACTTGAATTTGGGCTCTTGACAGTGCCTGTGCCTCTTTTCTGGAGGATCAGGCAAAGCTTTGGGCAAATGTCACATTCTGAGACCAAGGAAAAGTGCTCCAATAAAAATTATTTACTAACGGTTTTACTATCTCTAAACTATCTTTGCCTGCATTGACTTTCTCTTGCATTGATGTCCCTAGCCTAGGATGCGGATGTGCTCTGCATGCAAAGAGTAAAGAGTGTTCCTCATCGATAGTTCTAGAGCTATAGGGGGTCATTTTGACTCAAGGATGTGGCAAGTATACAAAGTTAGTTTATTCTACTCTGCTTGGATACCCACATATAGTGGGGCATCTTCAAACTCAAACAACTTGTTTCTAGGTCCTTGTAGAATCAATGCCTGGGCAGTCTTACTATGTCATGGGTACCACAGTTCCATTCTCTCAAACTTTTATACTATTCTGTGGATCCAACGCTTCAAATTGCCTATGTGCATTTAATGGTGTGACATTGTCATCTCCCATGGCAGTTCTACAGGTGCTTTGACCATGAAGCACCAACTGCATCGAAGACCTCAAATCAAGTAACATCAGTAGTATTTTGTGCTTGGAATAAAGCTGTGTAGAAATCTCATGGCAACAAGACCCTGCTTTGATCATTAAATGTCACTGATGGCATTGTCAGTTCCAAGTGACTCTCCAGTTGCCTTGAGAGATGGATCACATGGCATATTATGCACTGGAATGACTTGAATAAAGACTTGAGTAGTTATTCTCTATTTTCAACCTATTTTACAACCACACTACCATAAAATGTCTTGACTGCTTCAAGGCCCAAAAGATCATGGATTGTGAGACAACTCTGTACCTTAACAACCAAGGCTGTCTTATATCTACTTTGGTCCCACTGTCCCCGGGTGAGACAAAGACAACACTTTATATACAGGTACAAACAAATTACACATTGCTCCTGATGTGTCAGGTTACCACCCTCTTGACGCTACTTAGATACCACCCATCGCCCTGCACCTCGTGGTTTGATTAAATCATTTTTATCCATTATGCTGTCATTTTAGACCCTTTCCTGAACCTGGGTCGATAGCTGTGGGAGTGTGGGTACCAAAGTCTTTTTTAATGAGCTGGTGTTGCCATGTGCTTTCAAGTTATGACCAGTACTAATTACTTTTTACAGTTGGTACCAATTACTGGTCTACAAGTGGGCCTGGTACCAATTTGTGTTTGGCACTCTCAGCCCTGTTTGTGCCAAGTTCTATGAGCAGGGGCCTGCCTCTTGCTCACAGCTTAGCTTTCCTTTATATTAGCTATGTTTTGTTTGTTATTAGCTAGGCCGCAGGTCTCTAAATCAGGCCTGTGCTACATGGGCTTATGTTTTAGGCCTTCATTTTACTAACCAAGAACTCAGTCATAAGAAATAACTGATGACTCATCTTGAGGCTTTCGGGAGTCAGTGATCCTGTCTCAGAGTTTGAGGACCAGCCTTGTTGCTTCTGAAATCAACCTCATGGGGCAGTTCTGTGCCAGTGCCTTAACAGCATAAATTTGTTTGGGCTCCTAATTTTGTCTTGTGGGCTAGCTATATAGTCCCTAGCCTTTCCACGCTGGAGACTCCTTCCACTGGGCATCAGACATAAGGCTTATTTAGATGATAGGCTCACAATATCAAAATTCAACTAACTCAGATACCTGCTGAGAGGTAGACTGCACTTTTGAAGTGCTCTTAACTTTTAACATACAGGTCAGATTTACAGGAATGTCAGCTGGAGACATGGGCCATTCCATTCTTATTTAAACATCCCATGTCAGTTTCTCCAAGACAGTTAACTTAATATAGTCACAAAGGAATGTTTGACTCTAGATGCCAGAGCACTTGCCTCCTCTTGAACCCAGAGACAACTGATCAAAACAATTTCAAAATATCAACTAAAGTCTGGCACAGCCTTACACATTACACCCAAAGCTGTCAACATGATAATGGAGCTGAATAGAATCACCGTCCCTCTAAAGAAAGCATTGAGGCCATCAATACAGCCCACCTCAAGAGAACAAGAGCCATCTTGATGTAGCCAAATTCAAGCAGAAGTAGAAAGCATAGTTGCCATGGGTATCAAAGGCTCTACCTATGACTAGCTGCTGCTGCAGGCTATGAAAAAGACAGGTGTCCCAAACCTAGGCATAAGTCACTAGCTCAGTCACCCCCTCTGTACTACTTTCTTACATAATTTGAGAATTAGGAAAATGAATAAAAAGAATTCAAAATGATGTCACGAACCAAGACACAGGCTGCAGGACAGTTAGAGAGCTAGATCCAGCCCCAACAAAACACTTACAATAAAGAGCTCATTTGGTGGCTACAACTAAGTATCTTACTGGTGGGGAATATTGAAGGATGCTGGACTGGGCAATATAGTAGGAACACTGCCTAATTCCTTGAAGGGCCAACAGATTTAGTCCATGGAGCTAATTGTGGAATCCAGGCTAGTGATAAAACAAATAGGAAAGTCTGGGTAGATTGAATCGTGCTGAGTAGAGATACTGTCCTTTGCCATATTTGTCATTAATCTCACATGAATTCAGCTTTTTGTAAAAACTCATGATTGGTTAGAATTGATAAATCACCCACAATGTTCTTTTATAAATTAAGGATTTTTAAAGGGTGTTCATTTGAATGCCCTCTGGCAGCAATGCCTCCTGTACAGGTTAGACCTGCCACAATATTTTATTCATCTGGTGCTTTCTGATAGAACTACCATACAGGCTGATGGTTTTGGGATGCCTTTACTTTTTCCTTCAGTTTTATGTCTAGCCCATAAACACTAACCCCACTCTATATAATCATGCTCTATTTTAGGGCACAAATTATTCTAACATCTTCTATTGTCTCCCAGATTATCTAGCTTTATTTTTGTGTGTCTCTTAAACATTAAGCTGTTTGGGGAATCTTATTAGTACTTTGTTTTTAAAAAAGCCTCTCTTTTCTACTAAGGTGATTAATAAAGTGATATTAATCAAATAAGATATTGCAATTTTAACATGCCCTCTATTGTGCCTGAGAATTGCTGCCCCTAAATTGTATTACTGTTGTGTTTTGGGAGAGTGCTATTAAAATGTATTTGACTACTTCCCAAGTATTTCAAGACTACTGACATTTTTTTAAAATGTGTTTCTAGGTGAGGTAGACATAATTAGACTTATTCAGTTCTCAAACTGATCTGAGTAGTGCAATTACCAATAACTGGGGAAAATGTTTATTTCATAGTCATATTTGCCTTCATTAGCTTATCTTGAACTAGCCTCCTAAGAAGAGTTGAAATTTTCTTAGCAAGTGGTAGTATCGTTTACTACATCATCATTGGAATGATAGCTTAGAGCTAGCCAACAGGTAATGAAAATATGTACATTCATGCACAGTTCCCTAGCTAGGCTTTTCAAATACAGGTAGCTAAAATTAGGCTCTGAATTCCATATTAGATATGGATTTAAGAGCCTAACTTCAGCTACATATTTTAGAAAATCTTGGGTTTGTATAAACACGGCACATTTTTTGCTGTGGCATAGTTTACTACTGTTGTGTTCATAGGTTGGCAACAGCATTTGTTAGCTTTTATCTAACATGGACCAAAATCAGACTATTAAAGTGCCTGCAGCAATATGTAACTGGAATTGTAGCTTTAACTGCTAGAATCAGCTAGCTTGTTATTGAACTGAGGCGTCAGAGATGTCTGGTTGTAGAAACTTAGAGCTTTTTAAAAAAACCTTTGTAAGGTAAACTAAATGTGACTGCTTAATGTTGCCTGCTATTTTAGTGTGTGTCTGTATTAAAATTGTGCTATACAGAAGTAATATAATTGCATGACTATTTTCCCTGTGGGACTCAAGATTTGATCAAGGAGGTTGTTATAGTGAGGAACATTCCAAAATAAATTCGAATCACTGATACCATTATATAGTAACCATCACAACAATTCAACAAGGAGTATGTTGCTTTCTAGACTTTCACAGAAGTAAATCATGTAGAATATAAAAAAATCAGTTACTTGTTTAGTGTCTTTGTAACAGTTTCTAATATAAATAGTGAATTTTTTTCAGAACAATCAATGCATTCCAGCTGGATTAGAGAATTACTACTCTGAGCAAGACTCCAGCGCTCGAGGGAAATTTTACACTGTCATAAACCACTACAATCTGGCCAAACAAACCATCACACGCTCAGTGTCTCCATGGATGACAGTACTGTCAGAAGAGAAATTATCTGAACAGGAGACTGAAGCTGCTGAGAAATCAGCTTAGTGTGATTATTAATGTCATTTGAAGGTAACTAAGGGACTTTAAGGAACTTTTCATTAAATATAATTATGGATAATTTAGAGGTTACTCATGTTTATGGTGCAATTGCTTCTGTTTGCTGATACCGCTTTGCAAAAAACAAAAATCTTGCTACAAAACATTCATGGGCATAAAATAAAGTGCATATCAGCATTGCTTTAGATCTTTGACACCATTTTCAATGTTAAGAAATCAATTTTAGATATTTTCTTGCAATTTATTGGATGCTGACAGAATTTTTCACTGGATTTTTCAGTGATTTGGACTTCTCACAAATGATGTGCTTTATTGTCTGAACTGATACTTTTTTATTATGTAGCCATTTTTGCAAACTGAAACATCATAGCCATAACTAGAGTGATCTCTTGTTTAGCAAAGAGCTGTATTTAAAACTTGCTTTCAGCTCAAGTAAGGCTGTTATCAGAACTGCTATCAAGGGTATGCTGTAATGATTAGAATGGAGAAAGGAAAAAAAACCCGTCAGGTAGCATTTTTTTCTTCACTGTTGATTTGTAAGTGATAATGAAGTTCTCTGGAACAAGGCATGCTCAATGTTTTATTATTGCTGTCAACAAAATTTCACTACATTTCCACTATGGCTTTAGTATGTTAGTAAGTATGTGCACTGAAACACAAACTAGATAGGACACCGGAGAGAGACACGTTTTTAGCTATGGATTTGTTCAGATTGTATAAAAACAACTTATGAACTGGAGGGATAAGAAATGGCATCCTTTGATTGCAGTGAACAGGCAGAAAGCCTTTCACTCTATTTGTAATCCACTCTGTAATTTCTCTGATATGACAGAGGGAGTAACATTTAAAAAACACTTTTATACAATATTAACACTTTCCCTTTTTATACATTCTGAATAGCTTTGAGTTAACTATGCTGTTTGCAGTTTGCTGATTTGCTGAAACATTACAGGACATCACAAGTGAAACAGCTGTCTTAGTTTATGCTACTTGCTGTTTTAAAGTTGACTTAAGAATCATAACTGTGTACAATAGAAGAAAAAAGACCATACAAGACTAGTACTGTGGGCGCATGTTCAAGTTTGGTGTTTTCTTGTATTGCCATTTTTTTTGTATGAAGCCATGTTTTTAGTTTAATCTTCAATAAGCATTACAAAAATAATTTGCTTAATCTTCCAGTTAGACAAATTAAGCGTGTGAAGCTTTTAGGTATGAGATTAACTTTTCCTTTCATATTACTTGAATGTGATATTTCTAGTGGACATGTCAAAAGTTTCATTGTTGTAGACATGATACAAAAATGAAAGGAAATAATTTGTCTAGTTTTGTACTCAAACTTGGTTAGCTTCATTTTTGGGTTTTCTTCTAATCAATTATTAGCGTATTTAGTATCAAGAACTTTACATCCCAATAAAGTACAAAATGGCCACTACTACTCTATAGGTTTAATACCAAACATAATGTTATTAACATCATAGAGTTATAAATCACAAAAGGTTTCTGTTATGCTGCATGGGATGCATAAAAAGCAATAAATTATGTGCCAAAATTTCTTTGCATTTTTTAAAATTAACTTATGTAAACACATTAAAACATACCATGTTTTGTTTTCTAGTAGAGATGTACTTTATTGAATGTAAATAATTCACATGTAACTTTTGACATTTTCACTTCATGCAAAATAAAGAATAAGAACATTGCCGGTTGCAAAGAGCATGTTGACATACATTTCCCAAGATACACAGTAAAATGTACTTCTAAAATTAATTTTTACCAAAATATGAATTTAAATTTTAGAAGGAAAGATTTGTTTCCCATTATTATCAACCATAGATTTGATTAATATATTTTCCTCTTAAAATTAGATCAGTAAACAACTTCATTGTACAGCCAGCTGCTGAGCAGCAAGACTACCATCATAAAAGTAAACTTCCAAAAAAATTATGATGAAGCAGCTGGAAACATAAAACTCATTTGGTGACTGATCCTGTACTTCTTGAAGTCAAAGGGAGTTTTTCCACTGACTTCAACAGAAGGTGGTTCATAAACTCCTGGCTCCAACAGCTTCTCAAGTTCTCCCATCCTGTCTAAATAGGTAGTTAATAGTTTTAACACTCCAAAACGTTTGGTTTATATATTACCTATTTCTCAGCTTTACTCCATCTTAATACAATCTGTTTACTATACATACAGAACACTTCCCCAACTTCTTGGAACAGTGTGTAAGTAAAGCTTTACAACAGTGTTTAAAAGACAATTATTTTCCAGCAAATACTCGTGAGCCCTGTACAACCCAATTCTACAGAAATAGGAGCGATGATCACATATGTACAATTATTACAATTTGTAGTGAGTGATGTGACCAAAAATGAAACCTGAGAAGACTGATTAAAAAAAAGCTAAATGCTGTATACTGCCACAGTTTTTTTTCATTGTATATCCTGAACTTTCCACTAACTGGCATGATGGGCTACCCGTTTCCTGAATGTTGTATAATTTATTTTGCTGAAAATTTCTTGCAGCTCACTAAACTCCAGAGTGCTTTTCGTTTGCTAGCTGATTCAAAGTTTTCAGTTTTGAAAGACTACCTACCTTTGTTTTATGTAGCTGCTGAATGGGCTTAAATAGTATTGATCTGCATTACAAGAGTGGGTATGTGTACACACTTTTTGCTGGAAAATATTCGAGTCACAAGAGTATGGCATTTGCAGATAGTGTACCATTTTTTGAGAGACGGAATGTCTAAATCTTATACAAATATAACACACAGGGTTTATTAGCTGTCATACCAGTCCAGGAAAAGCAAGGAGAATGAACACATTACAAGGAAGAAAAGGATCCACACTCGAAATCCAGCATTTTTTTTGATTGCCTGTAGGAAGATATGAGCTCAATGACTATTTTTTCCTAAAAAATTCTGAATTTCAATAATGTGACTCAACTAACAGTCAATACAGGCCCAATCTGGCACCTCTTGAAGCCAGTAGTAAAGCTGCTCATTGACTTCAAAGTTAGGCCCATATTTCTGTAGTCTCACCCCATGACACAATTCTCAATTTCCAAAGCAGAGTCAGCTGAAAGAAGAAAAGGCATTCCCCCATTCACCAAGATAGTTGGGGTTAGTTAATAATAGAATATATGCTATATCCAATAATGAATAGTTCCTAAAGAAAGAGCCAAAAATTAATAAAAAATGCATATACATTCTATTTACATGCCAAAAGTTGACATTCTAAGAATAAGTGATGCAGCTTCTCTAAACAGTGCAATTAGAGCTCTGCTATGATTAAATAACTTGAGAGTGACTGTTATTGAGGGCTGATTTAACATTGGTTTGAGCTATCTTTAAATATTATAAATGACCAAGTCCAATTTCAAAATAAACACTGATTCCAAGATTTGTTTTCAACTGAAATGGTAAGGCTGGGGGGTTATTTTAGACATAATGTCAACAGATTATCTTAAACAGTATCAGTCTCAATTCTTAAATAGAGATGTTTTCATTTGTCTACAAAGAGTTTTCTAGGTAGGGAAACTGAAGCACAGAGATTAAGCAACTTCCTGAGTTAACATGCATCATGTGAGGAAGTGGGTTGTGTCCATGAAAGCTCATGATACTCTCTATATTTGTGTTAGTCATTAAGGTGCCACAGGACTACTCCTTTCAGAAGATCTATGTTCTAGTCACAGCTCTGCCACTGATGGACTTTGTTACATTAAATAAATCAGTTACTCTGCCTCAGTAGCACCAGCAATTAGAATGAAGACGATGCTCAGAGTCATGAATGAGATGTGCGGAATATTAAGTCTACTGACAATGTGTCTTAAAAGATTAATCTCTGCCACTTCATGCTACTTTTTGGATAACTGAATATGAGAAATAAAATACCAAAGCAAAGTCTCTGAAAATAAAGCCCCAAACAGATTTTCAAAAATAGATGCCTAATGATAGGATCCTAAATTCATGTTTAGGCAGTTAGATAAATGAATCTATAAATAAGACCTTACCCAGTATGGGGAAGGCCTCTTCTGATAAAGCTAATGTGTCATGACAACATTCCCATCAATGTGAGTGGTGTCCTTTTCCACCAAACCTTTAGGGACACTGCATAGGTGACTACATGCAGCCCAGGGTCTCTCACATCTTTAACAAGGAAGTGAAGATTAGCAAAGTTTACAGGTCCCAGTGATTGTTCAGTCCAAGATTAGTGAGACAAAGTTCAACAGGCTACACTTCCTTTTAAGTGATCAAGTTAGCTTCGACCTACACTATTATTGCTAATCAGGTATGCCCTTAAGGTAGTCTTCAAGTTGCAAATCTAGCCATGGTATATAGTCATGAATATGCAAAAATGCTTTGATAGTTAGCAAGAAATGCATTAGAACACAACATAGTAACATTACCTCTCTTATGTCTTCATTGCCTTCTTTGATATTCTCTGTTGCACCCACAACTAACTGATGAATATTGTCAATTTCAGTGTCCTGTTGAGCAAGAGTTCCATAAAGACAATGACAAATTCTGCAGAAAAATGTTAACTGTAAAGCTCTGGGTCAGAATAGATCACAAATATGAAATAAAGAAGTGTGTTTGTGTTAATCTCTTATATGCATCTTTATCTATCATTAAGAGGCTGTTGGTTAATTAAATATTAAATTTTCTATGTCACTAGGGGCCTGAAAACAAAAGAAAAACTTCCATTGGCTTCTGTAACTTTGGATCAGACCTACGTGTTGCCTATCAGTTTTTGCTATTTGTCTTAGGAAAATGTTATAGTTTCCAAAATGCCACTAATTTAGCATAAGCAACAAGCATGATTAACAGTGTTCTAGGAGGAAGGGAATCTTAATAGTTAATTCAAGAATGTTTTTATTCTTATAAACTACTAAGAACATACATCTAGTAAGATTATTATACAGGACAAGCCATCCAGTATTTGGCTTTGAAATAGGAAGTTCCATTTTTGCTCAATGTTTATTTTCTTTTATTCGCCTATCTCGTAATATAACTAAGACGACACAGTTTCACAGCTAAGCCTAACCCTAAGCTTTTCTACAAGAAAAGCTCATTTTGCTTAAGCACACAGTTAAAAGTTACTAGCGGGCTGAGCCCCATGCTCACAAACCCCCCACTCTCTGGCAGCTTTTGTGATGACATCATTCTGTTGCCCATCAAGAAAAACTTTTTATATACAAAGAGAGATTTCTCGTGACATTTTGACATTACAGCAGCAAACATTTTTTTTACCTGTTGTAAGACTTTTTCTGTGAATATCTCTTGAAGTCTGGAGATTTCAACCACTTTTCCTTCAATTTGCCTTGACAAAAACAAACAAACAAAAAAAACCCCAACAAACACCCCCCATATGTCACTGTGTTCGTGCAAACATTTTCCACTATAGATTCACTCCAAACTCACATTTTCACCTCCAACAAATCAGTTTATAAATAAGGTAGTCATTTTGTCAGCAATTTGTTTAGTTAGCAGTTACATGCAAATATTCCACAATTTATGGTGAGAAAGAGTAAAGCCTGTAAAGATGCTTACAGGATTACAGGAAGTTCTGTAGCAGCTTCCCATGTTTTTAAAAGG